TACCATAACCTGTCACTGGCTTGATTATCTCACACATCTCAGAGTAAGAACGTGAAGCTTTTTACATAATATCGGGATAACGAAAAGTACTGTAAAGAATTTCCCAAACCCTCACATTTTTCCTCGTTGATAAATACTCTAGATCGGTTTCTTAGAGATGCATGGTGAGCAACTCTAAGAAAAAAACCTTGGGCATAAAAAAGTTGCAGCGTAACAGTTTAGCAATTTCTAATTTGTGTTCATAATGCCAATTGCGGTAATTTCCTTCTGTAAATTGCCGCAAAAACCATTATCACCACGGGGTTATGTTAAGCCAGTTTCCAAGAATATTATTGTGAGCGAAAGTTAAGAACAAATTAGGGATTAACTGCTAGGCATCTTTTTACGGTAAAGAACAGAGAGGCAGCGTGAGAGATATATGGGGACATTTCTTGATTGAAAAATTGAAATGATTCAAACAGACCCTGTATATGTAGTATAAATGGATATTAAGATTTACAAATATACTCGCGCTAGCATATGCATTAGTTATTTCTAAGGAATACATTGCACCGACTCTGCGGCATTGAAGAAGCTTATTTGAAACTGTAGGTGCGACTAGAGTAAGCTACATATATTGGAATTACCAAATAATGCTTCATGTGTCTGGCCATGCGACATGTTGCTGTTCCCAACTCACATCCTAACGGCCGTTGCGAAGAGCGCGACTGCTAGTTTGCGAACAATGCTCTATTCTATACTATAACACCATACAATAGTAATCCATTCTTCAAGCATGCTGATGGAATGCATGAAAAGATTGTCAGATTTGAAGCTCTGTCGTCACTTCATACTTGCCTAATTCCAAAGATTCCATATAGAAGACGTTTCTTCGAACTCGAAGTTACACAGAATCTTGCGAAATTGCCGAGCGCACATTTCAAGGGTAATTTCAATGAAGTAAATAAGTATTTAAAGCATGCTTGTTAAGATCATCACCTTAACGCCGTAGCAGCCGCTTTTAGATCATTTGCGAGCTTTCGTTCCGCCGTGAGAGAGATTCAGCTTTTCATACTGCAACATAAATTTACTAGTCATATACTATCTATAGTATCTTGTGAACCCACCGGTTACACAGGCTGTGGAACGCCTACTGCAGGTTCAGCTAGGGCCCATCTCTTCTCTGCTGATCAAGCTAGTAAAAACTGTTTATGCTGGGTGGACGAGCTTCTAGAATTTGTGAAAACAGAGGAAATGGAAGTCGGAGGGGAGAAAGTGAGTAGAGCGATTAAGAAATTTAAAATACTCTGTACACATTTATTACCGGTGTAAAGGAAAATCTTCAGCGACACAAGGATTTTCACATAAATTCGCTGCAAAGTCATGCTTCCCACCATCACAGCATATTTACCCGTGATAATGAAAGGAAAATACGGTCGAAAACGGCACAACTTCTTCACTATCTTATCCTTTCACTCTACGCCTATTTTTCTCTCGTTTGTATCTATTTCCGCTCTGCAGCATTATCCATTGTGTCCTTCTTCTTTTCACAAAAATAGTTTATAAATTTGTTATCAATATAAGACTATTGAGTTTTGCAAATCTAAAGGTGTGAATAATCTAATATAAGAATAACGTTCACTACACCGGCGAAACCACAATTGTTCACATTACTTGGACAGTATACGAAAAGGTTATCAAATGGCCAGTTTTGCGTATGTCCTATTGTAGTAGCTGTTATGATGCAAAGTAATGAGGTTGGTCGGTCTATTTGAAATTAAATAATGAAGGGCTCCTCTCACTGTGTGATTGGTAGTGGTTGACTTTATGCTTACCA